CCATGAGTAAGATGAGTGTGACCTATTCTGAGCCTTCTAATAACGATATTGTCTTTTCTGCTCATTTGAGGCATGGTGATGGAGGTAAAAGTTGGTTGGATTGTGCGTAGTTTTGTATTTTGCATGTTCCAATGTGTTTGTCAAGTGCTTAGTACGTTGTTTTTGATACTGGCCTTTAGGTCTTGGTAAAGTTGTATGTTTTCCATATTTTCTAAGGAGCGGGCCAGTTTTGCTGCATAATCAGCGTTCTCATTTCCATTGATACCAACATGGGATGGTATCCAGATGACTGTTACTGAAACACCATTTCTTAACTGTTGTTGGCAGATACTGTGGATGCGCTGTACAATGGGATGTATTGAGTATACATTTCTGATTGAGTCAATGGCGGAGAGAGAGTCGGTGCATATTGCTAATGATTTATCATTAGCAATGGGCGAGTCTAATTCCTTAAGTATTCCATACAGTTTGGCTGTGTGTATACTTCATCTGGGAGAAAGCCTATGTGACGCTATTGTTGTGTTTGAGGTACTGACGGCACAACCGACGGCCTGTTCATCTTTGGAGGCATCTGTGTAGAGAATTTTGTCATAACGCTGTGTCTGTATAAGTTCCTCAAATTCTTGTACCAAGAGAGTTCTGGGCGTTTCTTCTTTTTTGTATCGGTTCAAGCTGGTAAGGACAGTAGGTAGCTTTTTGGTCCACGGGGGAATTCTGGGCGTAGTAAACGGAGTTGTGAGTTTTAGGTCTATGCCTTTTAGTAAAGTTTTTGAAATTTGTGGGAGATAATGTGCTCGAGGGAGACTATTATCTGGGACAGGGTGGGGAGCATTAATTAGTTTAATTACTGGGTTTTTTGGATTAGCAGAAATTCTAGAGAAGTAAAACAGAAGTAGACGTTGCCGTCTTATAAAAAGTGGAGGTTCTGAAGATTCGATATAAAGACTTTCAGAAGGACTTAATCTAAAAGCGCCTAGGCTAATGCGTAAAGAATTGATGTGAATTGTATTCAGACATTTAAGGTGAGTATTGGAAGCAGATATGTAGAGAATGCTTCCATAATCCAATCTAGAGCGGATCAATGTTCTGTAAATTCATAAGAGGACTTTCTCTTCTGCCCCCCATTGATGGTGAGATATAGTTTTTAAAATATTGATTCTATTTAGGCAGTTTGTTTTTGTATTCTGTATCTGATCTCTCCATGTAAGTCTTTTGTCGAATATTACTCCTAATAATTTGTGTTTATCAACCACTTGAAGAGGAGATCCATTTAGGTAAAGTAGAGGAGGTTCAGTGTGATGTCTTCTAGAGAAGTTTATGACTTTAGATTTTTTAGATGAAAATTTGACTCCAATTTGAATGGACCAGTTATGAAGATTGTTAAGAGTGTTTTGGAGTAAGGAGTATGTGCTCCTTGTGACTTTACCTTGGCAATGAAGAACAAGATCATCTGCGTATATTGAGTATTTTATTGGAGGAAGAACAAGAGAGTTTATATAGTTTATGCTAAGAAGGAATAGTGTGGGGCTGAGAACTGAGTCTTGGGGGACTCCATTTTGTGGTATATGTGATGTAGATGTTTTCCCGTTTGCGACTACTTTGAATGATCTCTCTTGTAGAAAATTGTATATAAAGGTGATAATATTACCCGTTAAATTAAGTTGCTCAAGTTTTCTAATAATAGCAGCTCTGTTTATTGTATCAAAGGCACTTTCTAAGTCTAACGTGTGTTATATTTTAAGAGAACATAATTACACGAATAAACGTTATGACATAGACAATCGCAGCATCATTTATCATTCACTTCTTCCAAATAATCCATAATCTGGATTAAATATTCAAACAATTTTATTCATCCACAATTAGAGAATTCCGGCCAGACACAATACAATAATTTTTACTCTTTCATTAAAAAAGTGACCATTAACTTACGATTTCCTTGGTTCTACCAGAAACTTATTTTTTCAAATTCATTTTAGGATAATCGTGTAACATATCATGACAAGTAAATGTTTCTTGTTGTTTTTCTGATAATATACACTAGCGGGCAAAAAATTTAGGTCACATTTAAATTTTTATGTTTTAAGGTAGTAATTTGTTTACGGTTGTATCAATTTCTTAGCAGGCGCTGCTGTATTGCTTTCTGAGAATTGATGGATCATTTGTTGTTATATGTCAGTTTTGTCACGTACTGTCATCATATTTAAGACGTTTACGACTTTTTATGAAATATCTGTTAATTGCCAATTTTTCAAGTTTAGGTGATATTTTTTTTTATGTAAAACCTATCGGTGGTGCAGTGTATTGTTAATGGTGTATATCTAATAAATCATAATGCCTTTAGATCCTGTTACTGTGGCAAGAATTATTGTAGCATTGATACAAACTAGTTGCGGACAACGTAAAACTGCAAGAATTGTTGGAAGGTGTCTATGTACAGTTCAAAATGTGTACCAGCGCTATAATGAGATTGGTCTAATAACCAGAAGGGCAGGATCCGAGCGTAATCGAATCACCGCCCAAAGAGACGATCGGTTTGTGGTGTCCGCAAGCTTGTGGAATAGAAAAGCTTCTACGGTTTTCTTACTAACTCAACTCTGCGGAGCAGAAACACTTACTTTAACAAAAGCCTCGGCTACCAAACTAAGAGTCACACAGAGAAGAATGGAGCGATCCATGTTAGGAATAACTCTGCGAGACAAAATAAACAACGAAGAGGTCACGATAAGAATCGACGTCATCGAAAGGATAACCAGACTAAAATGGGGATGGACGGGACACATAGCTAGAATGAAGGGTGGACGATGGATAAAGAGTTTATTGGAATAGAGACCAACAAAAGACAAGAGAAGCGTCTGTCGACCACCTACACGATGGCTGACGATTTAAGAAGGCAAAATAAAAACTGGATGAGACTGGTGCAAGATAGAAAGGGTAGACTTTTGAGCCTGGATGAGGATGATGGAACAATGTACTGTTTTCAGATAAGTCGCGTTTTTGTCTTAATGGGTCAGACGGATGGCGTCAACTATGGAGAAAACCTGGAGAAAGATATGCTGCGGCTTGTATTGATGAGCGACTCGCATTTGGCGGTGGGTCAGTTATAGTCTGGGCAGGAGTTCACAAGCACGCACAGAGTTAGTCTTCATACAAAATGGCTTCCTTGCGATTCACAGATACATTACAGAAGTTTTAGATGGTCATGTTATGCCTTTTATGACTATTATGGGCGAACATGGCATTTTCATGCGAGATAATGCTAGACCCCATGCTGTCAGAGTGTCGGAGAATATTTTGATGAAGTGAGAATTAGGCGGCTTGATTGGCCAACACTCATTCCAGACATAAATCCTATCGAACATGACTGGGATGAGTTGGATAACCGAAGGCATAAACCCGCTTTAAAAACTACCCAGGAGCTACGTTGTTATTGCAATAATGGGATAACACCGACCAGAACGTGATCGGTAATTAAATTGAAAGTTTCTCGTCGCCTAAAAGCTGCCATTAATACAAGAGGGGTAAATACAATAAGTCGCTCTTTATTTTAACTGTAAACTTCTTACGACCTCCTAAATAAAGGTCAAAAACCAAAATATTGTTATTAATTCAATATTGATTATTAAAATTAGTTTACAAAATATAGTATTAATGGGTTACAACTGCAAACAGAAGTTTTCAACCAAAAATATCAACGAGACATCACAATATAACTGTGACATAAATTTTGTCTGTCAGTATATAATAATTTACTTTTAACTTTTTTCTTGGATTTTAGATAAATACAAATAAAAATACAAAAATTATTTTTCAATTCAATACATTTTAATATTAAGGGTTGGTTTACTCTTTTTGTTACGGTTCTGTACAGACAAAACAATAAAATTTATATTTCTTTTGTCAATAAAAGTTGCATAAGAACTTCTTTCAATTCTGTTTTTCATTTAAATTAACATGATCTGTATTCCATTAATATTTAAATTTTTTTACGTTTATTGTAAAGTTTATTATTAAAAATAACTCTTTAATTAGATTTATATTACATTGTTAAATCTGTGACAATTTTATGTATTTTTAACGAATAATTTTTTATCCTCATTGCAGTGAGATTTATATCTCAAATACCTTGTAGATAAATTCGTTTTTTAATTTTTTGCCATTGTTTAAAACAAAAATTAAAGTAAATCTAATTTAAAAATTAAATATTTTGGCGAGCAATGTCCCTGTAGCCGCGGTATAATGAAAATATCCTATCTTCGCTGTTTATAGAAGTACATAATAGAATAGTGGTGGTACAGCTAGCGGGTAGTTAGGACGGAGCGCAACGCAGTAGGGCATAAGCGCAGCACGAGGAAGAAGGAAATCGCGCGCATAACCACCTGGTGTCGTCCGTTCCCCCATTCCTTTCGGTATCGACCGGGCATTCAGTTGCAATTTTCAGAATACAAAATCGAAATTCGTGCCGACAAAAAGTCGCAAGAGGGAACGCGCGGTCCACGGCGTGACTTATCGAAGATCGAAGGGAGCATGCGAATCGCCTAGCCTACTGACACCTAGTGAGAATCATAATGGTGGTATACAACCACGGGGATGATTTCGTGTTACCGTCGTCAGTTCTTTTACATCCCACTATGGGATTCGCATTCACCGCGTAAATGTAAACAGTGCGGCGAGGACGCCGAGTCGTTCAGTACGTCGTTGTTGTTTTCGGTGACTCTGCCCCCGTCCACGGTTTCACGGCGTCGGTGTCGGTGTAAAAAAAGACGGCAACGGCGGTGGAATCGACGACGACAGTGTTAGTGCTAGTAACATCTTCTTTTTATTCTTTTGTGAAGTGCCAGTGTCAATTGTTTGTCATATTTTTTGTCTATATACTTATTTTGACTACCTGCTACCTCATACAATAATAAAACAACCAAAAATAAGACCGGCATGGTTAATGATGGTGACACCTCCACTACGGCGGAGACGTCGTCTTTTTGATGGAAAATATTGAAAACATGATTGAACAACAAGCATTAGCTGAACAAACGGTCGATTCTCCAGATAGTGGGGCGCATGCGGTAATTGCCACTGCCGGTGGCATGGAGACGCAGGTCGTTCGAATGAGGCTCGTGTCACGCGCGTTGGTCGAAAGACGACGTATCGTCAAACAAGAAGAGGCTGATGGCCCTCTTTCCGTTATTGTGCAACCTCAAGAAGAATCCAGGGACTCAGAATTACTTAGTCCTGGAAAACTTAGTCCTGGCACCGTAACAGTGGCTAATATGATAGACAACAATGATTACCGCACCTTGAATCCTGAGCCAACTTACCAGACGTTAACCTCTGTGAACGGCAGAATGTCGCCTCCAGGATATAGTCCCAGTTCTTCTTATGCAACTTTGACACCACTTCAACCTTTACCGCCCATATCAACGATGTCAGACAAGTTTGCATACGGACATGCTAGTAATGTAACTGGTTCATTTACAGTCATGCAAAACAATAGTATCAGTGGTATCAATTTGGGCTTAGGGGTAAATACTAACACAAATTATACGATGACCAATATGGGAATGACTCCACCGCACAACTACTCATCGCCTGGAATGGGAATGCAGCAGCAACCTAGCCCAATAAGTCCGCAAAGTTCGTATAGCCAAAACGGTTTATCTTCTCCACAGAAAAGCATGTCTCCTCCGAGTTATGATTCTCCTTATGGTACTCAAAGAGACATTGTAGCTCGGTTACATAGTCCTCAACTCAGTCCGCCTTCCGCGTCGCTCAGTTCGCCTGATGGTACTCTAGTCACTAGTTTTAGTTCAGCTAATTTAAATGGACTCAGTTTACAAAATCATCCTCCTACATTAGTGCAAATCACACCTCAACCTAGAGACTGTTCTCCATCACCACCAGTGGTAACTTTACAGGCAGGCCCTGTGTCGCAGCAACAACAAACGATGCTCTCGTCTAAAAACACCAGTCCTGGATCCCTAAGTGTTCCAGCTATAGCGGCAGACGTTGAGGAAATCAACACCAAAGAACTAGCTCAGAGGATTAGTGCAGAACTGAAACGATATAGCATTCCGCAAGCAATTTTTGCCCAGAGGGTGTTGTGTCGGTCACAAGGGACACTTTCTGACTTGCTGAGAAATCCAAAACCTTGGTCCAAGCTGAAATCTGGTAGAGAAACATTCAGGAGGATGTGGAAATGGCTGCAAGAACCGGAATTTCAAAGAATGTCTGCATTAAGGCTAGCAGGTTAGTAAGATACTTTTTTTTCAACTTATTCAAGGTAAGAATATTCCGTCCGATATGTAAACATCCCAAAAATTATCACCACCGTGCTGTTTACTCTACTAGTATAAGCACATGTCCTATTCGATTTATGGGAAAATGAAAATCTTAATCAGAGTCATGTCCTACGTCCTAGTAGATTTTTGGGAAAATAAAATGTTGATCAGAGTCATGTTATTATTTTAAGAACCAAATAAAATGTGTTTTTGTGATAATATAATTTTTAGATACCCATTTTCCTGTTGGTAAAACTATTTATAGTTTTATATTTACTTTTTAATACTTCAACGCTCATTTGGTAATTTCTTAAAAAATACAGCATACCATGAACCAAGACTTTGTGATTATAGATCAGATCATTTAAAATAAATCAAATTAAGTTAACAATATTCTTATTATACATTGTTTTTGATTCTATGAACATTTTATATATATATATATATATATATATATATATATATATATAATAATGATAATAATAATAATAATAGTTAAAAAAGGATTCACCTTATAATAACGGTTCCTTATTCACCTGTGTGGAAATTCTTCATGGCATATTTTTCGTACTTTTTTATTTTTGTTCTACTATTTTTTCTTCCTCTTTATTTTAATTTTTTATTATTCTTCTTATCTCCGCTAGATTCATTTAAAAAGCATTTCAAAACTCTCTTAAACCTGTTAACGATCTTCTAATTTGTCCTATTCTGCGTTTTCTTGAAATTTTTCTGTTAATTTTTAGCTCTAAAAACCAAACTCGGTATTTTTTAGCTTATTACATAAACTAGATATTGCAGTTTTTGTATTTTATTGTTTAAAGATCAAGTGTTTTTACCGTCAGTTACTCTATTATTGTTTCATTGGTTCAATCCATTTTATATTTACTGTATTTCAGTATAACTACATAATGACAGTATAAAAATTTATGCTCCAAAACTTTACAAATCTGAGTAGTATGCGAATTTTTATTTAACTGGAGATTTTTATTCAGTAACGAAAATGATACATTTTTATTGTTTGCAAGTTAAAACGGGTTTTTATTTTTGATTTTATTTTCATAAATTTCAAATTTAAATTTAATAGGTTCTTTAAACCAATATCATTTAATATAATTCAATTTAAAAATATAATTGGATAAATCTGTCACAATCATATTTACTCTCTTAAAAATATTCATAGATATTCACTGCATACATATAGGGTTACAAAAAGAAGATTACTGGTGAATCAACACATATCAAAACTTTTGATAAGTGAAAATAAATTATATTGATTGTTTTGTTTATAATAAATAGTGAACGGATGTGTCAGGTATAGATAATGATAATACTGTATAAGATTAGCCCTCACAGAAAACAGGAATGTTATAGGAGGATTATTTTGTATATTCTTATCGAAAAAAGGAAATCATATTTTAATAACTTATTTGATTTTCAGCTAAGTTCTCCCCCTTAGGTTCTATTTATTTTATTTTAAAGTTATGGAATATTGCAACTACTTCATCATCATCATCATCATCTGTGACCACTGACAGCCCATGAAGGGCCATGGTCGCCCGTTGGGGTTTCTAGGCTCTAAAATTTTACATGCTGTGGAGGCCAGCCACACGCATAACTTCTTAAAAAGTCCAGCGTTTTATATCTAAAATTGTTACTTTCTGGTTTGTCTTCTAAGATCATTTTAGTTTCAAGTATATTTTGCTTTCTTAACTATAGTCGACTATTTTTTTTCTTTCCTTTGCTTGTTTTTCCAATTCTCGTAAACCTAGTTCTTTTAAATCCTGGTTAATACCATCAATCCATCTCTTTCTGGGCCTACCTCTCGATCTCTTCCCGGTTAATTCTTTTCTAAGTACTACTTTTGTATTTCTCTTATCATCCATCATTTCTGCGTGTCCCAACCAACTCAGTCGTTTACTTCGTATTTATTTTGTGATAGTCTTCTTCTTCTTCACTGGCTTTACAACTCGGATAGAGTCTTCGCCGCATCCACTATCGCCCTCCATCCTCTACGATCTTGCGCTTATGTTTCTCATTGTTGTACTCCAATTCTAGATAAATCGACTTCAACATCATCCTACCATCTTTTTCTCGGTCGGCCTACTGATCTTCTACGATCTGGTCTTTCAAAAAAACACTGTCTTTAACACTCTGCCATCCTCTGATCGTACCACGTGACCTGCCCATCTTATTCGGTTTGACGAATAGAAAGTTTTTGTGATAGTCGGTCTATTAAATATTCTATTTATTTCGTGGTTCATTCTTATACGCCATTCTCCATTTCCCTATATAGGTCCATATATTTTATTTAACATTTGTCTTTTCCATCTAAGAAGTTGTTCCTCTTGTTCACTAGTCAAAGTCCATGTTTCTAACGCACACGTTACTACGGGTTTTATAACTGTTGTGTATATTTTTATTTTTGAGTTAATAGATATTAATTTTGACTTTATAATATTCTGTAAGCTCTAGACCTCATCACGTTCTTATTTTCTACTGTAATTATTGATCCTAAATATTTCAATGGACTATTTTTTTAATTTTTTTTTCTTTGCCATACCATCTTTTGTGGCTAGGTTCTTTGGTTTCCCCCACTACTTCTTTTGCAGCTGTTATAACTAGTTTTTTAAAACCCTCCACTTATCTATGGTATTTCTGACCTGATATTCATTTACATACTTTATTACATTATTCATTTATGTTTTATATTTTCGTTTCATATCTTGCTCTTTTTTTATTATTAGAGGACAATATATCTGAAGCATATTTGATCTATTTTCACCTTTCTCTGTTTCCTTGGCGTTAATTTTTTGTTTATATTTATATGGCACAAGGTGGTGATCGGAATTGCTATTTGCTCCTTTGTGACTTCTCACATCGGAAATGTCTGAAGCATATCTTGCTTCTAATAAGACTGTCGATCTGATTTCTTGTTTTCGTATCTGAAGAAACCCATGTTTCTTTGTGGATTTGTTGTGTTGAAATTTAGTACTGCTACTGACCATTTTTTTGTCTGCTGCGAAATCTATAATTGTTTGCCCGTTGTCGTTACTAATTTAATGCAGGCTATGTATTCCGATTGTTCCCTGATATAATTCCACTCTTACGATTTTTGCGTTTAAATCTCCTAACTTTAATTAAAACTACTTATCGAAGCCAATACTCTTTTACATATCGAGTAAAATACCTTTTACTGGGTAAAAAAATACGTCAATGTTAGGTTGTTAACTTCCAGATCACTATTTTAAGCATCAGTGAATAAAATGAAAATTATCTAAATAATGATTGACGCTGTAAGTGGATATATTATTTGAAGAAGAAGAAGAAGAAGGTCAATTTGTATTACTCAATGCAAAACTAAGAAATGAAACACATGTCATGCACTTGTAAGAAAAATTAAAAACGACCACTGGGAAGTGGGAACGCTTCTCAAAAGAACAGGAGCACGATTCTTATTGTTTACAAATAGAAATATGGCGCTTTACAAGAGGTCAAAGAACAGAAGTGAAGTAATTAAGAGACGAGAAGAACGGTGGACAAGCGATCTAATCTTATTTTTCAAAAAGGGTGTTAAGAAACAACCAGAAAACTACAGAAATATCAATTTGCTAAATACTACCGTGAAACTTACAACTAAAATTTTGCTAGAATGAGTAAATCAGCTCATAAACCGCAATAAGGTTTCCATACGGGAAGGCCGTGTGCAGATGCAATATTCGTCATAAAACAGAATACAGAGAAAGCATTAGAATATAATAAATTTCTATGTTTGACTAACAGAGTAAGACTTAAAGATGTAATACATCTCTTGTATAATAAAGAAATCCCGCTGGGTATTAAAAAAACGATTAAAAATGTCTATCAAAACAATAAGATAGAAGTCAGAATAGATAGGCAACTTTAAGGAATCTATAGATACAGGCAATAGAATAAGACAGGGATATGCACTTAACCTTATGTTATTCAATCTTATCATGGATGAAGTCATTAAAGGCGTCAATAAAAGAAGAGACAACAATCTTTGTTTTATGTAGACACGACTTTCTCTCTTTTTCAATGTGCCTCCAGTAAGTTGCCGTTTTATCGTTTTCGTAGTCTTTACTACGAAAATACGTAGTCTTTACTACGTAGTCTTTACTACCCAATCCCTATTGTTCTCCACCTTGTACCTCCTTCGTATATCTGTACTTCTAACTCTGTCCCATAGCGTCTTATCATCAATTTTTCCAAGAGTTTTCATCTTTGCTATTTCTGACATTCTTTTTGTCCTTCCTGTATCAGGTTGTATTTTGCCGCGTATGTCATTATTGGTCTGATGTCTGATGAATTCTGCCTTTGATTTCTTTGCTGATATTTTTATTTCTCCATATTGGCTTATTCAGGCAACCTGCGGCTTTGTTTGCTTTCTTCACTTGACCTTCCGCTTCTGTTTTGAGCTTTCTGTAGCTAGATAGTGTGATGGCTAGATATTTAAACTCTATGACTTGTTCTATTTTCCGAGAGTCCAGGTCCAATTTACATCTTAGTAAATTTGCTGTTATAACCATGAATCTTTGTTAGGGAAATTAACATATTCAATTTTCTGGTAGTTATATTAATTTTTTTTATTTACAATTAAGACGCATCAACCTACGTGGTTATTAGCGCCGTGTGATATTACATTTTTTTTACATTTTTGGATACATAATATATACAGATTTTCACATACATAGATTTTTACATATTATATAAATCTAAATTAAACTAAGTACATTAGTTAATAGAAGATTACACATTTATTTATACACGCACTGATGTTTATATTTGGTTGTATATTCCTATTGATTTTAGAAAATTTAAAACAGACGAATAGACACCGTCTTCTTCTAGACACTCGCGTAGCGTTGTCGGTAGGTTACACTTTTTCCTCTTATTTGAATATGCAGGGCATTCGATTAAGCAATGTTGGACACTTAAACTGTTAAAATACTTAC